CAACACCCTGGACCACACATCCCACCACAGATGAGTGAGAAACTAACCAAGGGATGGAGGCAGCACCCAGGTCCTGAAGGAAACCAGTCACCGCTGGCAAAGAAGTCGGTGAGGGCAGCCCTGCTCCTTTGAGCTGCCATCCAACAAGGCTGAGAGAACAACTCGGGGGACAGAGAAGGAAGTGTGGCAGGTGGAGGAGAGACAAGGAGACACAGAGAGAAGCAGCACAGGACAGGCCGGCGGAGGGGGAGGGAGGCTCAGAAGGGGCGCAGCCGGGAGGTGCACCTGCATCTCACATCCCGACAGTGTCCCCTGGGAGCTCTAACATCCACAAGGGGACAGCTCTGGTGGCTTATTAGAAACCCAAACCAGAGCCCCCAGGCCCAAAACAGACAATGGAGCAGAACCCAGACCTCACCACAAAGGCTCTGAACACCCACAAAGGGGAGGGAGCCCCGAAAAGTAGGTGGCGGCACATGGGGGAGTTTTAAATAACCCGCTTCCCTCACAAGTGTTCAAGGTTAGGTGCTAAACACTGGTTCTTAATGAGACATGCGGGAAACTGAAACTGAAGTCTCCAAACAGACTGGCACCCAGTCTCCTCGTTCTCAGAGGAAGACTAAGCCTGGATCAGTGACCAGAGACCCAGAGGATCTTCCCTGGGGACAGTCCCAGGTCCGACGCTGTGGTCATGGGGCGGGGGCACCCAGACCAGGCTCCCCAGCCACGGCTCTACACAACACTTGCCTTGGATGGCACACTAATAATTTCTAGAAATAATCACTAAAGACTGAGGAGCCAGGGAAGGAGAGACCACAATGATGGTTTCTGAAAGGTAGAGCAGAATGACTCAGATAATTAATGTTTGAGGAATCCCATGCAGTAGAGAAACCTGCAATAACTTCTAGTTAGTGGTTAAATGTAGCTATGAATTTCTTGTTCTGAATGCATGCCATGGAGGCTTGGATGAGACATCTTAGCCATCCAGTATCTATCAGGAGTCTATTGGGGGGG